CTTTAAATCGTGATCTGTGGAAGACATGATAGTATCATTATTTACATTAACCAATCAAAAACACCCTTGTAAGTTGTTGGACAACAATTAACAATGCATATCTCAGAATTTTAGATATCATTCATTGAGCATTTGATTGGTTGAGTATTAAATGATCCTTTACTTGAGATGCATAACAAATTCTTCAGATCATAAATGGCAAGTGATTATAAAATTAGATTACAAGCGTCAATAAAAATAACTCAAATTTTGTATATTTGTAAATAATGTACCTGATAAATATTCATATTGAAATAACAATTGTAAATTGAAATTCCTTAAAAGAATTATAATATGCAGGTTTTACAGAAAGAAAGAATACCAAAGTCTCAAAGCCAGTCAGAAAGTCCATGGCCAGTCAGAAAGTCCATGGCCAGTCAGAAAGTCCATGGACAGGTCAAAATCGGGTGAAAAAACAATCGATAAACAACATTGTTTTATCAATGAAACTAAATAAAAGTGGATCTCTGGAGGGAGGTAGTATCAGGTGTTCCAGAGAACACAACAACTATGCTAGGTAGGTCCTGATGCTTCAATACCTTGGTTCTTAGATCATCAGTTGATCGTCCTTCTAAAACCCTAATAAATACTTCAGCAAACAATAAATTCTATGATAAGAGCAAGCTTAAGATAGCACTCAAATGAAGAAATCATAGAATTTTATTATGATCTAGTTTTATTATCTAAACCACAAATAGTATGAGATTCAGCAAACAATAAAAACATTGAAATTCTGTAGAAACATGAAAAAATAACAGGTGATAAAAAATTATGTTTGGTTAAATTGTTTAAGATAAAAACATGCTAATGTAGATATTGTAAATTTAGAATCAAGTTTAATCACAGTTTTCTCTGAAACATAAATCAAAATTTGGATAATTTTTTAACAAAACTTATCTTTTTAGACAGTTGTTTCTTTATATTATAGCTAAAAATATCTTGGCTTTGATAATCTGATAGCCTGTATAGACAATGCTGGCATTGATAAAACAACATGTCAAATTCTAAATTAGAAATTTAATTCCTCTATCTTTAATATCACTTGGAAAACTGTGCAGATAGGCAGAATTCTACATTATGTTTACAAATCTAGGTCAGAGATAGTAAAATACAAGGACACCGTGATAGAAATGAAATGGTTGTTTTGTCTCACTTTCCTACACTTTATAACATAGAAAAATGTTCTGCCAATAAAGTGGCATTAGCAAACTATTATTTTTCTTTACAACTGTGGAATGATCTTTAACAAGTTCAGTCTGTAGCACACAGGGCCTCGATTAATTGTCCCCTTTAAATGACAAGACTCTTTTCTATAAATTTGCAGTACAGTAGCCTATTTAGAATTGATTAAAATAACAGGAATAATCCAAGCGATCAAGTCTAACACTGGTTTACAAATCATCATGAGCCTTATTGCACCATAGTATCTCAAATAGCATAATCTTTATACCCCTTGACAACATTTGAACTCTTCTACACATGCATATAATGGACCGAGTATAGTGATGTGGTTTGTATGATTAGACCAGTTCATTTGAAATTAAAGGGTGAGATACTGTAATATTAAATCCAGCCTGTATAAACTGGAAGTGATGTAAATATTTTAATTATAAAGAATATATTATGTAAGTAGATCATTGTATCATAGAGTATCATTTTCTAATAAAATTATTTTACCATCCGTTGTGTTTAATTAGGGACTGGTGGAAAATGAAATGAATGGAGTTTCCTGTCCTACTTTTCTGCACCATATGGGCTAATGAAGACGGGTAACACCAAATGCATCATTTACAAAATTAATTGAAACTACTATAGATCCAATTTCATAATGAAAAGTGGTGTCTAGGACAGTAAAAATGCCCTGCCTGGTGCCACAAACCTTCAATTTAGAGTAACATCCAATCTGAACACAAACAGTCTCCACAACACCTGAAGAATCTGTAGTAGCAAAAATCATAACCTAAGAGACAGGCTACATCTGGTCTGATTTAACCAAGTTGAATAACAATCAACCAAATGCAACCCTGAGAAACAAGAAGCCTTAATGGTAATTTTCCATGTGTTGACTGAATTATTTGATAAACTAATTAACGAATTATACTTTGGTCTTAATTATATTGTCAATTGCTCCTTTGCCTATGGTTTCCTATTTCCTTTGTTGTTACTCGGATGTTTACCATATATTGTTAGACAATTATACTGTTCATTTCTCTTGATAAACCTGACTGCATGAGCATGTGAAAAAAGTTGATAACCCTGACTGTATGAGCATGTGAAAAAAGTTGATAACCCTGACTATATGAGCATTAGAAAAAATGCTGATAAACCTGACTGTATGAGCATGTGAAAAGTGCTGATAACCCTGACTGTATGAGCATGTGAAAAAAGCTGATAGCCCTGACTGTATGAGCATGTGAAAAAAGTTGATAACCCTGACTATATGAGCATTAGAAAAAATGCTGATAAACCTGACTGTATAAGCATGTGAAAAGTGCTGATAACCCTGACTGTATGAGCATGTGAAAAAAGCTGATAGCCCTGACTGTATGAGCATTAGAAAAAATGCTGATAAACCTGACTATGAGCATGAGAAAAGTGCTGATAAACCTGACTGTATGAGCATGTGAAAAATGCTGATAACCCTGACTGTATGAGCATGTGAAAAGTGCTGATAACCCTGACTGTATGAGCATGTGAAAAGTGCTGATAACCCTGACTGTATGAGCATGTGAAAAATGCTGATAACCCTGACTGTATGAGCATGTGAAAAGTGCTGATAACCCTGACTGTATGAGCATGTGAAAAATGCTGATAACCCTGACTGTATGAGCATGTGAAAAGTGCTGATAACCCTGACTGTATGAGCATTAGAAAAAATGCTGATAACCCTGACTGTATGAGCATTAAAAAAATGCTGATGCTCTGTGGAGTCATGTTTTGTCTTTGATGAGACAAAAAACGCTGACAAACACTGAACTGGTTTAATTTTCAAAATTCTGTAGGCACTGTGATAATCTTCTTGTGGAAGCGAGATAAAACAAAACATATTTGTGTACCACAGCTTAGAAGGGGAGGTTTGACCAATCTGGTCTCAGAAAGGGAATTTTTTTCCTAAGCTAATCAGCATAATGTTCACAGCTCACTATCAAATTTAAGCCTTCAAATCCATGTGTGTCTAGAATTATCTGAATTTGAATGTTAAAATGATGACTCAGCCTTCTTGAGACCCTTCCATTGAAAAAGAAAGTAAAATTGCTGGTTTAAGGCATTTTTGAAGCAATTATGCTATGACGAAGATGTCTCTTTACTACAGACAGTAAGATTATAATAAAGAGTAATATCTGGAGTTAACATGTGGCAGTGATAATAGGTAAATAACTCAGATTTCAGAGATTTTTTGAAAAATTTAAATAAGCGTCTAATTTCATTTTCAAGTTGTTTGTCTGGTCTCAAAATTTGAAAAACAAGTGGCATGTCTGGCTATAGCTGTCAGTTACTTTACAAAGACAATAAAACAAATTGAAAAATTCCAGTCAAGGTGGATTTCTAGGGTAATAGTAAAAATTATGTGATTCATTAATTTGAGAGAGATTATCCATTGCACTACTTTAAATTAAAATACTGCTGCTCTAAAATTGTGTTCTTTCAAAACCATCTCTGTAAACATTCTACACCTTTCATGTAGAATATAACATATGAGGATCCTTCAGGTTGAAAAATAAATGGATGCACAATGACAGGTTGTCCCAGAATGGGGAAGTGACATGTCACATGGTGAATAACACATGTCACTTTGATTATTAGGTTTTGAACAGTTCTACAGCATTATCAGGTAAACTAGTGTCTTCTGTTTTTGGACTATATGGTAATATAGTAATGGCAAAGACGGTGTTTGAATGTTCAGTTTATATTTGTAATGTTGCAAGGAGTATATCTCCCTTTTTATGAATATATTTAGCAAGATATGTTTTTATTCATATTAAATGATAAAAAGAAGCACATCATTGATATTTCAAACTCGTAATGAAGGAAGAGCCTGTCTCCCTTCTCATTTAATATTGTAATGTTTTATATTTCATGTAATGAATATCAAATGAATTAAACCTCTGAAAGCTTGATTGGGGAGTTCTGCCTGACTCATGGAATAAACCAGACATCAATAAAACAAGTTGGAACAGATAGTGACATATCGGCTTTCGGGCCGTTCGATTGAGAAAAAAAGGAACCTGTTCAGAACTCTCCAATCTAGCACTACCATAGAGCGTTTGGATGTAGACTGAATGAAGAGCTGATAGATTGAAGAATGACCAACTTACCTGAAGATTAGCAGAAGTTGTTTTAGAGAATTTTAAATCCAGTCTAGTATTGTCTAGTTCTGTTTTTAATCTTGCAGCTGCCTCCTTCAGATTATTGATATTACTGGCAGCTGAGCCTAGACCTTGCTGACTATCTTCTACTGAATTCTCTAATCTTTTCACCTACAAATACATACATGATGATACAAAATTGGATGAAATAACATCAATTTAAGAGTTGGTTTGTTCAAAATCACCTCTTCAAGACAGTTAAAGAATCCAACATGGTAAGGGAAAGAGAAGGGAACAATTGAATTGTCATCTAAACAACAACGTTTGGCTTGGAAAGGAGAATTCAGCAATCTTTAATCTTTATTGAAACCTTACTCATGCAGTATGACCATATTGGTGTTTTGAAGCAAGCAGCTCCATAACTCATGACAATCCCTGTCTCTCACTTCAACTCTAGTCATCAACTTGGCAAGTCATCTTTACTATATTGGTATCATGTATGATGAATAAACCAACTCTATTATAAATAGTAGTCTATAATATTGTCTCAGCAGATGATTCCAACGATGGAAATTTTGCTCTCTTTTACATACCATTATTCAACTTTTCACAGATTATAGCAAAACTTCACACTGTCTTCTCTCCGAACTTAGATTATAAAATATTACATCTTAAAACAGTTTCACTTACCTCAGCTTCAGCAGTTTTTAATTTTGTAAATAATTCTGACTTGACTTTTTCAAATTCACTGAGAATCGTCTCCCTTTCTTCTTTTAACTTGGTTGTCTCCCCTTCAAAGCGATCTTTCCAGTACTACAAGTGAAAGAAAATGTATCAAAATTCAGAAAAGGCACAGGGGCCTAGGTGTAACCTCTAGTGAGAGAGAATTGTTTGTGAAGATAGTTTAAATAATAATATAGAATATTTGTAATGAAAATCCAAATCTTCGGAATGTGAAATATATAAGAAGAATACTGGTTCCTATAGAAACACTGATTGCCATGGAATTAAATTAGGGATATATATATATAATATTTCCTTTGTATAAAATACACCAACCTGCTCAGTCTGTTTCAGTAGTTCTGAAGAATCTTGTTTTTCCCTTTCAAGTTCACCTTCCAATCTGCTTCGTAAATCTTTCAATATACCCTCCTGTTCCTCTGTTAATTGTTCTTCATGTTTATTATGACGATCTTTCAAACCCTGAATTTCACGCTCATATCTCTGTTCCATTGTTTGCTTCTCGATAGTCAAATCTTCTATAGACTAAAATTTAGAAACATCAAAAAAATGCAATGCAAAATTTTGGAAGGTTGAAATTAGGGCAGGCTGGTTATTCTTGTAAAATATCGTAGCATTCTTTGCTATTATTCTACAGTTGATCAGGAAAATAAATAAAGTCTTCCTTAAGCTTATAGTACTGACATGGGGAAATGTGATCGAAACATAAAAAGGAACTTTGTTAACGAAAGCAAAAAAATCCCAACTTAAGCCTTGTGGTTATAAGGTATCGCACGATAAACCACTGCAGTTGAAAAGTTTCTACTAAATCAATACAAGATATGTGTTCAATGGGATAAAATATCATCATACAGCTCATACAATTATGAAACGTTTCCAAGTTTCATTTCTAATAGCACTGATAATGTTGCTATTGTGCTAGAATCAGCTCAGTGTTTACCTGTTGCAAATGTTTCATCTGAGTAATTTGCTGTGTTGATAAATTCTGTTGGTTACTGAACAGTTTCTTTCTCTCACTTTCTAATTCTTTCAGTGAAGTTTGCAGTTTACTTAATTTGGATTCTAAATTTTGGATTGTTTCCCCTTGTTTTAATTTAGTATCTTCAGCACTCTTTAATAAAACTGTAAAAATAATTCAATAAGTAATATAAAAGGATTTGTTCATCATGCTATAATGAATCAGTAGATTTCCTGTGATTTAACAACAAAGTCAGTATCTGTTCCTTTATCTTCACTTGGCCTATGGCTCTAATGCAGCGTTTACTGCACAACCTGTCAAACAGTTATTCCAATGGAAAAGCATACATTAAAAACAAAAAAGTTTTTTCTTGAAATGTTTGACAAAAATTTAATTCTTAAAATGTTTAAAACTATTAAGTTATTGATTCATAAAGGATTTACCTGCAGTTTGGTTTAACTGTGAACTTAGGTCTGTATTTTTATGGTTCAAGGTAGACAACTCAGTTTTGTGGTTTGAAATTTCTTTCAGAGAAGTAGATAATTTTTCTTCTAAATCTTTTATCTACAGAATAAAATTTGAGAACAAAACATATTTTAAATTTGCTCGATAAACAAATTTTCAGAAAAACATTCCATAATACATATTGTTCACATTTCTGGATTTTATTTTTTTAAGAAAAAATCATTTTTTTAGAATTTTGAGCACTGTAAGCTATATTTATCATATAAGTATAAATGGTTTAGAACAAGAAGAAATGTCAAATAAGAGAACAGTATATGAAAAAAAAAAAAACAGAACCAACAGGAGTTGATGAAACCAAATCCTATATGATAGTGCTAAAGACCATGGTATGGTCAAATAAGGGTCAATAAACAATCTGACCAAAATTATATTTTCTTGTGTTATTGACTTCAAGTAGACCAACCTTGTTTTTTTTAAGTAATTGAAGAAAACAAAATTTTACCTGATTATTCAGAGTGCTTGAATTTGAGTCTGAATTTTGTAACAATGATTCTAACTGGTTAATTTTATTTTGATGTTTTTCTACTGTTTCTTCACTGTCAGCTAATTGGTTGATTAAACTGTCAATCTTTTTCTTTAGCTCCGCCTCCTGTGATACGAAATCTTTACGTAATTTTTCCTGTTGTTCTTTCAGATTATTTATTATACTATCTTGTGATGCTGACTGTTCATTTTTTAACACTTCCAATTCTTTTTCGTAAAATGCTTGAGCTTTTTGCAACTTCAGTTCATAATCTTCTTCAGATTTTGATTTTTCATTTTGCAATTCTTCATATTTTTGATTTAATGCACTGATTTCACACTGATGTTTTTCAGTTAAACGAGCAACTTCCAGAGTCATTTCTTCATTTTGTGACCCTTGGAAATTTCTCACAGATTCTAACTCTGTTTCATGTTTTTTAATAAGTTCCTCTATTTCATGCTTTTTATCTGACTCAAACCGTCTTCGAAATTCATCAAACTTTTCAACATTTTCTGCAAATTCTTGTTTCGTAACCAACACTGCATGAGAAATTTCAACAATTTTAGTTGCATGTTCTTTCTGTAATTCACACAATCGTTGTTCAGCATTTCGCTTAAAATTATCAAAGTCTGCCAAGGATTTTTGTTGCTGTTGTTGATATTTAGAGACACTAGCTTCCAAATTCTCAATACGTTTTTTACTCTCCAACTCCGATGACATTCTACTCTGATAAACTGCGATTTTTTTCTTGGATTCTGCCAATAATTGATGTAGTTCCTCTTCATGGTTTTCTTTAAGAGACTGAACCACAGCTTCATGTTCATCATTCTTAGTATTCAACGCATAAATTACCTGTAATGATAAAGTACTTAAGATTATATTCAAAAGTGCATTCAAAATTTGATTATCCAAAATAGGTATTAAATTAATTCAAAATTCCAAACATCATAAGGTATGGTTTGTTTGTCAGCTTATGGCAGCCATTTGTCAACTTACTTTAATATGTTTTTTTTCTAGCTATCCTGGAGGCATAGTGATTGAAATGATACCTTGAGGGGCTAACATGAGAAATGTCTAGACTTTCAAATTGAATTAATGCAAGCTATGCATATGAATAAACAAATTTAACCTGAGACTATCTATTTACCTTTGTCAGTTGGGCAATTTTTTTTGACATCTTAAGATGAAGATCTTGAGAAACTTCCCCATTAGATGCAGAACTCTGAGGAAGAGTGGTTCCATATTTGCCACTTTGACTTTGAAAGTAATTAAATGACATTTTAGTGGCCATTTTTACACACTGGTGACTTTTCGTTATAAAATAACACACAGCAAGTTGATCGCAAAATATCAACAAACGGGAAGTTTCATCAAATCAAACGATAACCGGCCAAGGTCAAGCATTTTAACCATTTGATATAAAACTCATGAAGCCTAATCAAAGCTGGGAATATCACATTTCCCTTAAATTCAGATTAAATTCCTCAGAAAACGATGAAAAATTCCTAAAAGTTCGTTTTGCGACACTTTTAAAACCGGAAGTTGACATGTGTTGCTAGCAGTTACAGATCTCCAACATTGAAGATCTTCAGACAAATCGACCCAGTCAAATAGACCGGAATGAACTCTCTTTAGCACAATCGTCAAAATCACAAGATAGATCACTCTCTAGACGACAGACACTTATCAAGATAATCTGCATCTTACATCGTCTTACACTTAGCACGCACCTGTTTATTGTTACGATGGTAATTAAATTATTCAATTCTATTATGTGTTTTCGATTTGTTTGTTCTATAGTTTTCCACAAGTGGCAGTATACATAATTTAACACGATTCTTCTTTGAATCGGATACTACTGTATCAAGGATACTGGCTTAGTTAGTATTATGTGGAATTTTGACTTTGATAGTCAAAATGGTTAAAGAGATCGTTTTTTTTTTCAAGTGAGCGTTTTTAGTTGGTTTTTTTTTTTTTAGCTAACTATTATTAGCCGAGAGCAAGAAGGCATGGATCATAGATGACCAGTGATGTCAGACGCAGAAAATCACAAAATTAAAAATGTAGGTAAAGAATTAGATTTAACCAATTTTAATACAAATAAAGGTCATTAAAATCAAGTCAAGTTAGTAAAGGTGGTTAAACTTTGTTTTTTGACCAATAAAGAAAATTGGGTTGGCTACAGAATGCAGTAACATTTCTGCTTAAACTTGAAGATGTGATATCTAAGATTCAGATTAAGGAATACTGTAGTCGGATTGGTTAAAAAAAAGTCATTTTTGAAATTCATGTTAGTGATTGACCAATCCAATGACTGAAACAGGAAATTATTTATTTTAAGTTAGGACCTACAGGCCTTTATTTCTGGAAAGTTTATTGGTATGTGAAGCTCTGAAATAGGAAATCTTGTCGTTGCTACAATTCATATGGGTTTAGGAAAGTTGACGGTAAATAAGATGGTGGTACTTAAGATAATCTAAAAAACTGACTGCTTTTAAATAATATTTAATAATGATAAATCTCTAACACAATAACATTAATCATCTCATCATGAATATTCAACACCTCATGAATATTCATATATACTCTATTGTCATTCTCAAGAGTAACCAATTCGAGGTTTATAGAATTAATATTCGTAGTGAATAGTCAAAAGGTTTTCTCTGGAAATATTAACAAGTTCTATATACATAGCACCAAATATTACGCCTGGGAGACATAGTCTTACACAGACTTTATTGCACTCTTTCTGGGGTTCCAAATACACATTTCATTGTCATGGTCTCATTGCCCTTACGTTCACTCGCTTACTGCTTTCAACATTTGCCAACTTGCCACAGAAAATAACACATCCTTAGAAACGGGTACTGTCACATATGAGCGCATCAGGACTTCGTTTAGCTTCTTCTGGAACTGGGGGTCCCTTAATTTGGACGGAAGATTGTTCAGTGGTAAAGAATGGACCACTAATACATGGGAAAAGACATTGGCGGTTGGCGACCCATTCGTGGTGGTATTGCTGGGGGATAGCCGTACATAGGATAACTTGGGAACATTCCCATAGTGTTCATCATCGGTGGACATAGACCAGATCTCATCACATGACTAGATTCTCCAGGATGACTGGTGGGTGATGTTAATGAATGAGAGACAGGTGAAGCAGGAAGTGACGTGGGTGGAAATGTTCTCAATGCAGATGGTGGTGGTGGATAGGAGAAACCCATAGCGTGAAGTTGAGAGACGTCGACACCACCTGTAGGAAAGGGGAATAACCTCCCTTGTTCTTCTTTATTCGTCTGTTGTCGTTTCTCCTTCATTCGACGATTCTGAAACCATGTTTTAACCTGAAAATATAATAGAATTTTGTTAACATCAGTGATCTGCTCAAGAGGCATTTATCCCCTCGTTAGTCCAATTAGCAATTTTTATTCCACGTTAATAAATATAATGCTCAGTAAAGATATAGAGTAGTCTCGAAATCAACCCCAAACAGTCATTATCAACAAACTCCATTCAAAAATCATACAAAGATGCCATTGTTATTATGGCAGAACCATGCTAGGTTTCCAAGAGAAGTATCTAAGCTGCACGTAGCTTACTCAATAAGAGCGAGTATCGTCAATAACATATTGAAAAAGAGCACGCACTTGTTGGTCTGAAAGGTGTAGTTTATCAGCTAATTCTGAACGTTCACTGGCAGCAAGGTATTTCTGTTCACGAAACCTTTTCTCGAGTTTTTGTATTTGATCATTACTGAATGCTGTGCGTGCCTTCTTTCTTCTTCCACCGTCTAAATCGTCATCTGGAAAATAAATAACAAATAAATAAGTAATGATACATTGAATAGCATATACACAGATAAATTTGCAATATTCTCTAGGCATTGCATAATGGATTCAGGAAATGATTTTCTGAGATATGCTTGTATTGAGATTCAACCAAGCGAAGGCAAGTATTTAAAATTTCCCCATAGGTATTAAGAAATTTCTGAAATATGTAGGCTCGACCTACGTTCTTAGACATATAGAGCTAAAGGTTTTCATATAGATAGCGCTGACGTTCTTAAAAAAGATAGTGCTAACGTTATTAGACGGATAGTACTTAAGTTTTTAACAGATAGTACTGTTGTTCTTCGACTAAGTTCATAGGTACTTAAAAAGATAGTGCTGTCGTTCTTAGAAAAATAGTTCTCACGTTCTTACAAAGATAGTGCTGGACAGACATGACATGACAGATAATACTAAGGTACCTGCAGTTATTGATTTACAATAATAAAATATTTTCGCTGTTGAAATACGTGCTCAATATATCGGTTGTAGAGTGATAACAAAATATTTTTAAAACTTAATTAAGATTAAAACAACACTTGATATTGTAAAATTTAAAAGATTCACGTCAATACTTTTTACATAAACAAATAATATTAGTAAATATATACTTGGATTATATTGGTTTTTGTCCTGATGATAATGGTAATCTCCAGCGATATTCAGTGGCTCAAGTGATGAAATACAAAATTGAGTGAAATGGCATTACGTGTTTCCCTCGTCGTCCTCAGGCACATGAGGACGACGGGGGAAACACATCGAAACGTTGCATAAAACTTTATCCAGTGATTGTTGTTCCATAAAGCTGTGTCTATATATAGATTAGATTAGAATTGTGACTGTTAATGGAAGATCTAAAGATTTCTAGTAAATGCCATTTCACTCAATTTTGTATTTCACCACTTGAGCTGTGTCTATATATCGTACTCACAATTGCTAAATGCTATTCAAAGACTTTAATCTAATCTAGTTGAGCCACTGGCGATATGTTGTCTTTATGCATATCAAGAATTTTTTATTGACTAGTTAGTTCCTTCCTTGTGTTATTGATATCGAAATAACTTTAATATATGGTTTTGTGTAAAACATGAATACTTTCCCCAAGGAAATAGCGTTAATAATCTATAAATTATGTTCTGTGCTCGCGGGATGCGGGTATATTATTGACGTTTATCTAATTGGCTCAAGGCTGACTTAAAGTTTATTTTCTTACCTGAGATGCTAGGACTAATACTTCTATCGGTAAACTCTGGGGAACTGGTCGGGACAGTAGAATTATCTTTCGGAGTACTGGTACTAAACCTTTCCACGTCACTTAACCGTCGTTTTCTGCCAGGAGTTGTAGGGATGGGGATTGGAGAAGGGGAATCCCTTGGGGTATCCCTCGTCTCGCCTAAAAATATCCTCATTGGTGGCTCCATGAATGCTTGAACAATTGAAGATTTCTGAGTAGAATCCGTTGGCGGAACTGGAATCTGGTACACTGGACTCGATGTTGAAATCACTGGCGGAGCACATTTCTCTTCATTTACTGAACTTTTGGCCAAATTCTCGATAGAAAAAGAGTTTTTCTTGACGGTGGTTGTTTTCTGGAAATTCATGGTGGTTGTAAAAGGTAACCTTGAGGTCTGTTCCAGCAACATTTTACACAGTTTTTATATAAAAAATATATATGACACAGTTTTCTCACGAAATTAAACTTAATTCCAAATGTTGGCAAAAGTTACTCCATATGTTAGAATATTGCTCGTTTCGTTGTTGGTTCTGACGACGTTCACTCTTAAATACTAGAAAGTTACAACTGTCATTTGATTTATACTGGGGTATAAGAGGGGGTTGATACCTTAATAAACTAAATAAACACATGTATCTTACCTGCGAATTATCGACCTATTGTCTTTAAAACAATGCACCTTTAATTACCAGCTAATAGGTATTGGTAGTCCTGCTTTATTAGGCGTTTTAACGTATAATAACGAAGTGGTCAAAACGGCTTGGCGATCGTGCAGGAAGATTAGTAAAGGGTTTTGGTCATTTTGAGTTGAACAAGCTACTGACAAAAACACAATTAGTTGATTGAGGAGAGTTTTTACAGGCGAAGCGAAGAACAACAATCGTTTAAACCTTATTAAAATAAAAACCAATCTTGTTTTGTTTTGTACGAGTAATGTTTGTAGATCTGGTGTTGAAATTTTCACTAAGAAGTTTTTAACCACGACTACTTCATGTCTATTTTATTATTTTCCAATTTCTTTCATTATTTTTATTTATATTCGAGTTTTAATCATTATATTTTATTTGTTTGTTGAATTAATTTCGTGAATTGTGTTCAACACAAAATATCTACTCACTCGTGGCCTGGGGAGGATCTCTCATCTCATTTCCTGGCCCCTGGGTCATCTTGATACCCAAAACAACGATGTCAAATTGGTAAAGAATGAATATAAATAAATACGGTTACTTAATTCTGTTCTCAATTGTTATCTGTTTTCATATGGATGTATTGCATAGATAATCGGTTTTCGTATTGAAACATTCTGCATTTCAATAGAAAGAAAGGACAAGGATTTTTTTAAGTATTTTGATAAAAAACGTGTAATAGGAAGAAACAGGCCAGATCGAAGATTTTTTTCACGAAATAATCGGTTTCAAATCTTTTGTCAAATACATATTTCATCACGATGTCTTAATGTATATTTAGCCAACTTAACAGTGACTCAAACGGATTTACTAGAAAATCGATTCAAAATGCACCAATCCACCTCAAAGGAGACAAAAGGCCAGTAACTCAAATAGAATTAAAAAGACAAATTAAAGGTTTTGTGGATTCCATGCTTACAAATCAGTAACAAATTGTAAATTCATCAAATAAATTAGATTAACATTCGAAAATCTACCTCAATTTTGCCGGCAAAATATCAAAGTTGCCTGTCCATTAATTTCTTAATCTCAGTTACTAAAGTTAGAAAATGAAATTTGTTCAAGGGATTGAAAGGATTAAGGATTAGCATTAACAGGGCGAGTACAACTCGTGCCTTGTAATATGCACGTGTTGTTAACACCAGATGCGTTAGCAGTTAGCACCGTTACATTTTTCCACATACAAAATATTATGTCCGACTGGTCAGCAGTGTGCTGACACAATGCTGGTTTGTGGAGTCAGTACCATGAAATATTGTCTAATATGATGACTGTTCAACAGTCAAGGACAAATTATTGATTTACAAGGCTGGACCACACCCAAGCCCCTTCGGTTAAAGATTAGAGTGATGGAAAATATCAAGTTCCTTCTTCACTGGCACTGGGTTACAGTAACACTTGACCTCCGTTTTGTAAACCCTTTCGTTTCAACAAAGCTGTCAATTCCTAACACCCACCCCTTGGACCATTTTGTTCTTGTTATTGTAGTATTAGATATATGAGAAACATTGCCTTATATTAAAGCCAACAAATATATCGCTTTCCACAAATCTATTAAAATGTGTAATTTATGCAAGAGATAAACCCGGATTAGGATTAAGGTAATGATGTTTAAAAGTTTGAGGAAAACTCGTGCCAATAACTAATGTAAAAACGTTTTATAACGCACGTGTTAATGGCAAGAGATAACTAATATTTTAGCACCGTTAACGTTAATCTAATTACAGTACAAACAGGTCAAAAGTGTATTTTTCATCTTGCTCTGCATACAAACACTCTCCTGAATCCATTGTCCATTTTAAAGGCAGGATTTCATGAACCAATATCAAACAGCACAATTAATCTGTCAAAAGGTCACTAGAGTTTTTGATTTCATTTGATATCATGACAGTTGTGGAACTTGTCATTGCATTTTTAATTCGAAATATTGAACGATCAACATCCATCCGAAAAAATAATAGCATAATCCCACTTCCTTGCAACTACAAGGAATAGCTTCGAACTTTACCAAATCGAGGTGAGTTTCTGATAAAGATTTTGAATTAGTCTATGACTCGTCAAGAATTGACAGTAATATGAAGTGAATATGGTCAATCATTAGGCTACAGAACAAAGCCTAGGTTTTGGAGAAAAAGAAATTGTTCATCTGGCAATAGCTTGATACGGATTAAAAACGATTTGAAATTGAATTAAATTGTCCTTCTTATATCTGAGATTTCATTATCGGTTAAAATTTTACAGGGGATTAAAATGTAAACCGACAAGAAGTGTGTTTAGGTGAAAAATACTCGCTGTTTTACAATTAAATATCTATTACGTTTAGCAGCTTAATCTATGTAAATTAATTAATCTCGTGTGCCTTTAACGCCCTATTATCCCTCAAAACACCCTGTATAACGCAAATTTAAGCAAGCGAGCCTTTTACCGCCAATATGCTATATTACTGCAGAAACAATGACGTCATTGTCCAGTAATTAAATAGAGACAATAAGAAGGTAAAAACGTTAAGCGGTTCTATTATGCGCGAGATTAAAACAACAATACTGTACAAATGACCAACTTATCGGCTGTCTTTTATCTCGAATTACCTTTACTTTCTGTCTTTTAAACCCAACAAATTCTTAAAATAACAAAATTTACTCATAATCTATGTTTTCTATCCTTTAAGACGCAAGATCAGCAACAATTTTGCTACCGTTAACACTCGTGAGGATCAAAATATTTCTTAAGAAGAAAAAATACGTGTCATATTATAAAATTTTAGTGTCAGGAAGCCTTACTCCGACTATCTTGTAAGACTTGGAACCGCAGAACACATGTCACAAGAGTAAAACAGGAATTCGAACAATACACAAAACACATGCACAATAAAACGGGAGAATAAAACGTCTTTTTCTGAACAGGAACGAAAATGGACAAAATGGTCGACATGATCTCTTAATCGTATTTCAATTAAGGCATGATATGAATCACTCAAATAATATGATTAAGCTACTTAAAGAATAACACTGTTTATTTACAGAAAAACATCTCCATCTCAGACTCGCTGTCTCTGCTGTAATATTTTAATCTCCGCATACAGATTAAACCATTTTTTTCATTATCGCCGTTTAAATTTGATCATTTTGATTCTTAATCTTAGTATATTAATTAATCTGATCAATATTTTAATTAATCCTGTTAAAGTCGGTGAGATCAAAAAAGAGACTTACAGGAGCCTTAAAAATTTTAACCCCATGATAATCGACTTTTCAAAATTGATTTCAGGTTGATCGCTGATCTGGGTTTCATATGGGAGAATGCAATATTAAGAGACAAGTTCGCCATCCATGTACCTTAGTCTCAGAAACGGGAATTTTTTTTAGATATGCTAATCAGTTACATGTATTGTTCACGAACTTTGAGCCTGCATCTCTAAAGCAGGCCTCACACTACACGATTTTCCCTACGATTGTGTACGTTACGACATGCCAAGACATCGTAGAGCAAACATGTTGTATCGTATGGCAGTCTATCGTGATACCAACCCCTTCACACTACACGACAAGTAGCAAGCCAATTTGCGTTATCAACGTTGACAAAAATGGAGTGAAACCTTAGCTCATGCTTGTGGTGTTTTTGACTATCCGTGCACGTAAAAGAAGTCAAGCCAAGAAACCGATTCAGATGTGTCGGGCAACGCTTTGCAGATTTGCAGCCAAAGCAATTGGACGAAGTCATCACAGCGCATGCTTGCTAACTACGATTTGCAACGATTTCGTTATATATTTGGACATGTTCAAAATTCTTCGATAGGACGTGATACTATGTGCGCACACGATCCGGTGAGTTGTCGTGTCGTACACGCCTTCACACTACACGACATCGTGTCGTGGCGTGAGTTTTTGCGTGACATTGTAGCGAAGAAGTACAGTGTGAGAATGCTAAGTGTTTAGAATTATCAGAGCTTGATATCGAATTGTCTGTTCTTAAGGCTACGCCATATTAAAAATAAAAATTAAAAATTTCTAGTTCGAAGTATATTTTCGGGGATTATGCGATTTTTGTGCAATATTACTAGTTCTGAATACTATTTATATATGTTCAAGAAACAAACCAACTGTCGAAAAAGGCCATTAATCTTCATCACTCTGGTTTTAACAAATAATGAATACAGTGGAATAACGTGTCTCGTGAGGCAATCTGAACAATGTATATTTGCCTTATCGCTATTCTAGCAGAATTCCCAATTGTGTTCTTATTGCATATTGTATACTGTTGTTCGACTAATTACCCAATTAAGTGCAGAATATTCAATGTCATGTCATTTCATTTCATTTTTTAACATAAAACAATTGAAGGGTTAATAATGATAAACATTCGATCTTAATCAAGCCCTGTATCTTGGAAATATTTTAACCATAATGACAGTCTATCAGAGTTCACGCTGTTTGTAACAAAGTAACGGTACATTAAACGTTCTGCTTCTCAACTTCGTGTAGTTTCAATAGCTTGGAAGAAAAACAATCTCATGTGATTAAAATTCTATTTGTTAAAAATATCAAGCTTCATATAGTTCCACCATCCATCCTATAATTTTCATTGATCGAGCATAAAACAGGCCCGCAACCAGCCCACTGTGACAAGGAGAGTAGGTCATATTTGCATTACACGGGGGAATGATAGAGAATGACCCCCTTTGCGCTCCCCCCCTTTGCGCCCCCCCCCCCCCCTTAGTTACGGCCCTGGCACAAAATATAAAATTATTCGACTGGATGGGATGCTTCTTTTTATTTAATGCATGTTTTTAAACCATTATTATTTGATTTCAAACATTTCTTAACCTGTACGGTAAAGACCGTAGCACACACCTATCCGCATGATTATACGCTAAGGCTAGGACAGACGTGCGTTTTTTTTTTCGCCAGATCACGTCGATTAAAGTCGCAAGCGAATTTTTTCTACCCATCACGAAGGTTCACACGTCGCATAGCTTTAAGAGCATATGTAAATCCACGAATGTTTTTAGTCGCTCATGGAATCGGTACAAAGGCAGAGGCAGCAATTTTGGATACACACGATATCAACACCACGTCAAACTGGTTTATAAGTATCGATCGCCCGTAAAGTACTCCGGACACGGGCAAGCAAATGGAATCTCCGGCGTAAATAATTAACTTAACTTTATGCCGGCGATTCGTTAAAAAATGTGCTCCACTCTCGTCTGCCTCCAGTAGATATCCAGACCCTTGAGAAATATTTGCTCGTCTGTAAGCCATTGATAGAACAAACAATTCGCTCTGTAGTCTGAAGTTACCAATAGCTTTATTCTCAATAGAGTACGCATCTAGTCTTACAGAAAATTTCGAAAGTACAAATTTAACATTAACATCAGTTTTCCATGAAATTTTAATTAATTATTTACAGTTTAAGTGACGAATTCATCGATTTGAAAAATAAAACAAAGACATTCAAAATACATTATCAACTCTCTATGTGCTATTCAAATAACAAAAGAATGAAATAAGATAGACTTTTCTGTAACTAATTGGAATTTACACCGAGGGTGTACCTTTAGCGTGCATGCGGATAAAGTATATTTATATTCGCCTGACTCTATCGTAAGGTTCGATAGGAAGTGTTCACGTAGAGAGCAATCTAATTAAACTTCATTTCCTTTTGATGTATTCACATTGTTCGTCATTGTTATCTGACAAGTATTCTAAAACAGACCGAGGGGCGGAGCCAAAGGGGGGGGGGGGGCTTCCTCGCAGCCCCAAAGGCACGTTTTTCGGGCAAAAATGTCATAACTTGGTTATAAATTCGGACAACCTCAGTTATTTCGCCCTCTCGGACATAAATCCTGGCCCCGCCCCTGAACAGCCCCATGCTAAGGACACTACTTTAACCCATTTTTAAACCACATGTTAGAACTCATTTATTGATAATATGAAGGATTGTCGGATAGACCAATTTGACAGTCTCTTCAAGGAACATAGATACAGCATTTAAGTAATCTCTAATTTTGCCCCTGACATATCGCATCACATTAACCACACACAAACGTAGTCTTATTTCACTGGAACAGTCTTTGCAGTTGAACACAGTTAAGGAGAAAATTGTTGTTACTTTCTGTGCCAATTGCCAACTCTCGTCAGTTTCCACAAAGCTGAATCTGTCTCGGTAATGCATAGTAAATTTCGTTGTGTCGTCTTAGGCTAGACTCTTCACTTCCGGCATTTCACATCTAGTGAAGGGATAGTAATATTGCCTGAATATCGCGTAACTATCAAGGTAAGTCGTTTATTCCTGTACATCAAATTCAAAGGAAGTGAGCAGAATAAATGAATCCTAGTCCGAAACATCTGCCTCTATTGCAGCTCTGAAAGCTATAGTGCAAGTTGTTGCCAGCCGACAACTATAATGTCATAATGTCAGAGGTTGGAACAGAGGCAGATGTTTCGAACTAATCGAATCCATGAGCTAGTACTCATTGTAAATCCAGTTAAAACCATGGTTTTAAGCCCTATCCGTAGAATGGACTACAGAAGAAGATAAACTCTGTGCTAGGGTGCAATCTTTATTTCCGGACTGTCTATGGAACAGTTTTCCAAGCACGTGATCCTATAACTTGTTTGTATATGCTCAAATCGCTGTATTTAAACAATTTGCATTTTTTATTGATGGCGGTAGCTATATAACAACTAGTTAATTGAGCACATTTTATGCAGCATTCACGAGGTGACCGTACTTCAAACACGCCCAGTGGTTCAG